TCAAAAGAAACCCCACAATGTAAAAACTGAAGTCCAATTGAGGCCTGTTGATGACATGGCTTAGTGTGAGGTGTCCCTGCTCATGGCAGAGGATTAGAACTTGATGATCTTAAGGTCCTTTCCAACCCTAACTATTCTATGATCCTATGATGAGAAGTTACGTGAACTGAGAGACTTCTGTTCTTCCTTTCCTTTCAGACTGAAGTTTAAGTTCAAGAGAGGCAGCATTCCACCCGTGATGCCCCTGGAGTTTGTTGGCTGCATTGGAGGCTGTGATGACATGCTCAAAGAGCTCTTGGACCTTAAGTACTTACACAGATCATCCCAACCTCCATCATCAGCCAGCCAGGAAACCAACCCCTCGCAGGTCAACAACTCCTTTAACAGGGCTAGTGGTGAAAACAGGCACGTGAGGGGGACCACAAACCTGGCTCCAAGACATCTGCTCTCTGTGAGCTCCATGAGAACACCGAGACCTGCTCCCTCAGCTGCTCCAGACGACAGGAACAACGCAGTGGTGTGCAACTGTGGGAATGAAGCCCTGCTGCTCACTGTGCGCAAAGAGGGGCCCAACCAAGGCAGGCAGTTCTACAAATGCAGTGCCAGCACCTGCAGCTTCTTTCTCTGGGCTGATCAGCAGCCAGAGGACAGAAACAACGCGGTTCCACGGGGCTCTGCGTTGCCCCAGCCCTCTGCAGGAAGGGGCCCAGCAGGATTTCAGCGCCCAGGAGGAGGAGGGAGAGGCCCAGAGCTCTTTGGAAGCAGCAGCTCTGACTCAGGAGGTGGCACAGTGTGCAATTGTGGCCAGCCAGCTGTCACACGCACTGTCCAAAAGGATGGGCCCAACAAAGGGAGGCAGTTCCACACGTGCTCGAAACCCAGGGAGCAGCAGTGTGGCTTCTTCCAGTGGGCAGATGAAAACACAGCTCCAGGTAAGGCCAGGCTTGATGTGGACCACAGGGGTGGAGGTTAAACTGAACACACTTCTCATGCTACCACAGCTCTTGTAGCAACTCACACATTTAACAGACTTCAGGTTTGTCTTTAAACCATCTGGCAGCAGCATTCTAGCACTGCAGATGTTGCTCATAACAACCAAGTCTGGCTTACCTTTTCCAGCCATACATCTGCTGAGCCCCAAGCAGGATGCTTTCCTTCTACATGCAGTTATCTTTAGCATCTCTCTGTCCATGACCTGTTGGATAAAGCCCATGCCTCTTTCCAATGCTGTTTGAGAATCTGTCCTCCCAAATCCTGGAGCTCAGCTCTGTGAGAGCTAGTACCAACTTTCAGCAGAGCTGGAGTAGCAGCACCACTTTGGGAGGTGGGAAACCCCTTTCTGTCACAGCAGGGAAATGGTGCTACTCCCTCTGCCCTACTTTAGGAACGCAGAGAAAGGCTAAGTCTTTCTGAAGCTTTGATCAGAGCTGACAAAGTGAGTGTGGCTGCTGTGGAGAGATGCTGAAAGCAAATACCCATTAAAGATAATAGCAAAATAAGGCTGCCAAAGAAAGAACACTCACACAAAGGAACAGTAAGCAGAGAGATGGGTGGAGATGTCTGTGAGAAACCTTCCTCTTCTTTCTCAGACATTTGGGCCTAAAGGGATAGAATAAAGCTTTCGAAACTATTTAAACCCTAAGTTTTCCTCTGGGATGTTCTGTTGTTTCTGCTTTAGCTGTAGGCCAAAGCATGTAACCAGGCAGATCAATTTCCCTGCTTTGTTCCCACATTCCTCTAATGCTGCAAGACAAATGGGTGACGTTTAACTGTTCAGAGCTTAAACAAGCGTAGTTTCAGGTATAATCCAGGTGGCTGAGATAGTGAAATCCTTGCTCTGCCATTTTGAACTTAGCTCCTGTTTCTCGCCTGCTTTCAGAGGCACTCACATGCACGTTGTTTCTCTCTAGGGCCTTCTGGAGATGTCTCTGTGAACCACTTTGACAGCAGTGGGTTCTCAGGAGGGCTGGGAAGCAAAGCCAAGAGACCAGGCAGCTTCTCCTCGGGAGCCACTGCCAAGAAACCACGGACCTGCAGCATTTGCCACCAGCCTGGCCACACTAGGAAAACCTGCCCTCAGAACCACTGAGCCTGGGGGGACATCCCTTGAGAGCCTGCAAGGCCCAAGGTTGTGAGGAGCTGCCACAGGAGCAGCTGCTGTGGAAGGAGATGGAGCCTAGAACCAAGCCTATTGAGTGTCTTCTGGCTGCAGGCTGCTCCTGCCAAGGGGTTCTGTGTTCACCCATGCATTATGTGCCTGAGCTCACAAAGGTGGCTCCACTACTGGGGTCAGCCTTTGGTTTGAGCTGCTCTTCTGCTGAGCAGCTCGGGAGAGTCTGAACATCTCAAGGAGGCATTTGGAAACCAACACTGGATTGAGTCCACCCACAGCTCCTGCTGCGCTGGCAGCTGTACCCAGCCTCCCTATGCAGGGAAAAGCTGGGTTATCACTAGGAGAGGCACCAGGGCCACTTAGCTCTCAGTCCCTGGCTTTCCACAGTGTGGAAATCTATCTTAAGTCCCCTTTTAAGCTGACGTTCCCTGAAGAACATTCCCCCTTCTCTTTGTCACAGCACTGCACCCCTTACCTTGGTTGTCCCCACAGGGAAGAAGGGCCAGGTTCAGAGGAGCTTGCCCTGGAAGGGAAGCTCAGCTCATCTGCAGTGCTCAGCAAGAGCCTTCATTTCAAACAGCTCCTGAATATGAAACCAAGTTCTTCCCCAAGCCTCAGCCGTGCCTCTGGGGTGCTGCTACCTGATAGGAGTTATTGTTGTCTAGCTAATAAATTTCTTATTAAAATGTATTTAATTCTTAAATGGGATGCAGTGATACCTTAACTCTACCTTATTATCCCTTCCTACTTAAAGCAGTTAAGCGATTACTGTGAAAGCACCCACCCAAACCTTGCTCTTTCCACTCATCAGAACAATACAGAGGCTTTCTTAGGAGAAACTCCCTACAGTTATTCAGGAGTGAGCTGCAGATGGGTAGGGAATGTGGGTTTAGCTCACCAGCTCTGCAGCACTGCTGCACATGGAAGGAGAGATAAAGCTGAAGGGAGGTCCTGGTTTCCATACTGAATGGCCTTGGGAAGCCAGGCCTCTAACTTCCTCTCTGTGGGATCTTCCTCTGTACATCAAAGAAAGCAGATCACAAGATTCCTGCATCCTCCTCTGGCACAGGATAGCACAGAGCGTATCCCAGGGCCCCTGCTGCTGCTCCTGGACACGGATGAGCTCCCTGGGGTCAGCACTGATGGTGATAGGCAGCACATGGAGGGCAGGAAGCTGAAGCACTTAGAGAGGGTTCCTCAAAGCAAGCAGACCACAGCAACACACGTTCACATTAAGGTCTGCATGAAAGAGAGAGCCTTTTTCTGTGCAGCAGCCCATCACTATTGTGCTTAAAACCTATGGAGTATGAGGAGAACTTGGGTTGCATTCCCCTGTCCCACTCACTCCCACAATTAACAGCTGCAGCCTAAAAATACATTCCTGCCAGCTAAAATACCAGGATCAGGAGGCTTTGTAATGCAATCACTGCGCTGGTGAGAGCACGGCAGGAGGCTCTGATAGCAGCAGAAAGCACTGGTGCAGCACCCAGGCAGTGGGGTGTTGCTGTCTGCATCGGTTGTTACTGGCTTTACTGGTCTAACCCTGGTCAGCACTCAGGTAAATGGCACAAGCTCCATGTCCAGAGGGCTCATGCTGCAGCCAGGGGTACATAGGAGGTTGGAAGAGGAGGAGAAAGGCTTTGCAGGATGGGGTCTGAGCACCACCAAGCCCTCCATGCAGTGAGGGATACCCTCCTGTCACCATAGCCAGGGCTCACCTCAACCCTTGGAACGGGAAGGGAGACAGAACAGAGCTGACACAAGAACCAGCATACACAGGGAAGGTTTATTCTCATCACTGGTACCTGGGAACAAACTGAAATCATCTCCAAACTAAGAGGAAAAGCTGGTTTATTTTCCTGCCATAAATACAGCCGTAAAGAAAACCAAACCACAAGAGCTGCTCCTCCCGAAGCCCACACGATTCCTCCATCTCCACCAGGGTGCAAAACCAGCTCTTCCCATTAAATAGAAGGGGATATTCCTTCACTCTGGGCCTACAGCCAGAACCAAAGCCTACTCCAGCAGCCACGCGAAGGAAGGAAACAGAACACAACACCCAAACAAAACACAACCTCCTTCATAAAAAAGCATAAATCGGTTGTTGCAAGTGCTCTGCTCAGAGCATCATTCCTGCCCCACAGCAGGAAGGGAACAGGACCTCAAGACAGCAGCAATACACGAGTGGAAAGGTCACAGGACAGACGGGAAGGGGACATTCACTGCTGTGGATGGGTGCAGAGCAGCAGGTACCTGCAGATGGACACTGGCAGCAGCCTGCCCATTGGGGAGGGGGCAGAGCCCTGCTGCAGCCTCACCGAGGGAATCAGCAGCTTTCTCCCTGCCACCACCTCTCCCAGCAGAACAAGAGCCATGAAGCCCAGCACTACTGGAAGCACATCTCTTCCTCAGGGCAGAACCAATACTGGTAGAGGTAAGGCTGAGCTTGCCCTTTTGGCAGCTCAAAGGGCTCCCAAAGCAGCCCCCTTTGCTATGGCTGTACCTTCAAGTGCTCACACAACCACCCAGGTGAGGGCTGCGGGCTTAGCTTGGATTGGTGGTGCCCTACAGCCCCCAAAAGGCACGGCACAAAGCTGGGTGCTGGTGAAAGGACCCATCCAGCGCCCAGGATGCTGCACCTTTGGGTCTGCAGGACACAGCAGCAGCAAGGAACTGCTCCCTTCCAGCTCCAGTTTGTCTTGGAGCACAAGGGGAGCCTGACCACTACAACAGGCAAAGGACACAGGGAACCAGAGACCAAACATGCTGCACGTTGGCTCCCAGTGCCCAGGGGACGGGACTCACCTGCATGTACTCGAGCTGTGGGCTGCACTCACCCAGGTTCAGCAGAGCCTCCATCAGAGGCTTCTGACATCAACCCCACCTCTGCTCAGGCACCTTTTATTCAGGTAGAAAATGCTTTGTTTCCTCATAAAGTGCAAGAACTTTGCCTCTTACTCACTAGTCAGCTAGAAGCATCGGAGCAGCACGTGGGTGAGGAACACCCTTACATATGGGAGCTCCCAACACACCAAGTCATTGCTCCTTCAGCAGCAGCTCCGGCTCAGCTATGGCTCTGTAGAGCATGAAGCCCATCTCATCGATTTCCTCTTCCAACAGCTCACAGAAGAGGTTGATTTTGTGGTTGAAATAGGAAGGCAGGACCCCTCGCTCCAGGTAACCTACCAGCTCCTCCAGCACCTCCTGGAACCTCTCAGCAAGGCTTTCTTCTGCCCAGTCTGTACTGGTGGCACTGAGGTGAAGGATGGTGTGGGTCAGGGGGCTGCCACTCAGTTTGTGCAGGCTGGGATGGCTCTTGCAGATGCCGTTGAGGATGCGGAGGCAGTGCTGCCGAGCCCCAGCATCACCAGCATCCAGCTCCTTCACCTTCGACACCTCTGCCTTGTAAAAGCTCTCAAGCCAGAGGTTCTCCACCAATCCTTCAGGAGGAGCAGCCAGAAGAACCTTGCCCTCCATTTCCACCAGTGGGAAGAGGGTGATGCTCAGCTCGACCTGCTCGTGTTTGACTTCCAGCTTCAGCTCCTGGGATGCCACAACCGGGTGGATGATGCTCCCCAGCAGGCTGCCTATAGCAGGCCAGTTGATGGAGGCCACCAGCAGCTTGTGGAGGCTCTCATTGAGCACGTTGGAGGAGAGGTACCGACCCACAATGAACCTGTCCCAGGGGCTGCACCCACGAGGGAAATACTCCAGATCAGTCCTCTTGATCATCCAGTACTGGGGGTTCCTCACCACAGTGTCCTCCCCTGGGATGAGACTCCAGAGCGCGGTGTCAAGGACCACGGGCAGCATAATGTGGATGTGATCGGCTGCCACAGCCCCGAGGCCATCGAGCAGGGCACCGCTGAGGAAGAGGTTCCCAAAGGGCAGCTCCGGGCTCTTGCTCCGCAGGAACCTCTGGAGCTGGCTGCAGATGCTCCTGGCCAGCTGCGGGGCGAGGGATGCTTCCAGCTCCGGTACAGCCAGACGGCTGCTGTAGTGCGAGAGGAGCTGCTCCTGCAGCGTGAGGCAGCGCCGAGGGATGGATTCCACCCGAGGAGGCTCCAGAGGGGCAGAGCAGACCCTGGGCTCTGTGAGCAGGGGATGGGGCAGAGAGGAGGGAGAAGTCACAACCCTAAGCAGATACCTGCGACCAACAGCTTCTGCCATAGACAAGGGGGAGGCACAAGCGGGGTGCCCAGCTTCCATCCCACCCCTGTGGGTATGAGCGTGGCCAAGATGCCACCATCGAGTCCTCTGGTGCTAAAAGCCCTTCTCAGCTAAGGCAGAGCCCAAACTAACCCCAAAACCCATCAGTTTCCAGCCTCACACCCAGTAGAGATGGACAGAGCAGGCAAGGGGCTCACTGCCACTGTCCCTACAGCCTCAGCCCCAGCCTGCCTTTATCCTCCAAATAACCCTGCTCCGGGGCTGGTATCTGCTTTCCCACTTGGAACAAGGCTTTGCAGGCAGAGCAGGACAAGGCAGCCTTTGTCTGCAGCAGCTCCCGATGGCACCTTCCTGTCGGCAGAGCTGACCCAGAAACCAGCACAGCTCCAGCGGAAACAAAGCCCCCACCACGCCGAGACACTGGGGATGGTATCAGAGATGCATTGCCTAAAATGGGGCTGCGGCTTGGGATCCTCCCAACAGGGCAGGCTCAGCTTTCCGGGCACCCAGCTAAAAATAACACGGAGCTTCCATACCATGGGCACAGCCAGCCCGGAGCACACCAAGGTGATCCCCCCTGATCACGGTACCCCTCATGAGCCTCACCTGGTGCTGGTGGCCGGGCTGGGGAGAGCAGGGGCTCGCTGAGGTCTTCCCTTCTCTGCTTCTTGGGGGGTTTTGGTGCTGCTTTGATCAAGGCCAGGTCCTGCCAGCTCTCCTCCAGGGTCTTCTGCTCGGCTTTGGGATCACCCTCGTTACGAGGGCTGGTGGCTCGGTCTATGAGCTGCAGGGAAGGAAAGCACACGGGGATGAGTTATCGGCTTTGTACCATTTCCCCACTGTCACACCCTGAGCTAAGGGGGACACCAGCCCCTTTAGTACATGTGCAGGGAGACAGCCTCATAGGCAAAACTTTAGGGAATAGAATTCATGGAATTACATTCTTTAGGGAACAACAAATGGGGCAGGTTTGCTTCCTATAGATTTCAACCGGAAAGCAATCAGGTTTCCAAAGATGAATTGAACCCGAGGTGCCTCTCCGGATGGAATACTATATCCCAAATGGGTACTGTGCCAGGAAAACAGGGTGTCCATGTCCCCGCAGGATGGGCAGCTCCATTCCCATGGCATTCCACCGTACTCAAGGGATTATCCAAGGCGTTTTGTAGCTGGGGATCAAAGCACCTCTCCTCCCCATCCCTGAGCCCCAACGATACCCGCATCACCCTCACCCTCTTGACGGCCAGCGTGGCGATGGCGAGCACGGCCGCCCCGGTGACACCCAGCACCAGCCTGGCGTTGGCCAACAGCACATCGAGGACACTGCCCAGCCCGTTGTCCTCCTGCCGCTTGCTCCGCTGGCGCATGAAGTCACCCATGGCGACCCTATGGAAGGGGAAAGGAAAGCAGCTTGGGATCACCCTGAACAGGGAATTCCCTCCCGGTAGAGGAGCCCAGGGAACGGGGAGAGGAATCCACCGGCCCCACGGAGCCCAATCCCGCTGCTCACCTCCACCGCCGGTCAAAGGCTCCCGCTGCCGGGTGCGGCGGAGCAAGGGTCACCGCGGGGAGCGCTCACCGGAAGGGCCGCCCGCTCCTCACCCAGCCCCAGCGCAGCCCCCTGTGGGGAACCAGCACCGCTGGGAAGGGCCCGAGGGGAGCCGGTACCGCGGGGGGAGCCCCCGGACGGAGGCCCCCAAGGGCAGGCAGGGACCGGCCCGCCCGGAGCCCCGACGGGCCCAAGGGCAGGACCGGCTCGCACCGGCCTCCCCCGACCCCGGCTCTACCCGCGACCCGCGCGTGCCGGTGCGCCCTAAGAGCCCCCCGCTCCAACCCCAGCCAATAGGAGCGCGGCGCGGCCTCGGCTCCGCCCAATCGCGCTCGGAAGCAGAACCTGGCTCCGCCCACAGCCCGGAGCAACGTCACCGCCGGGGCGGGGCTTGGGGGAGGAGGGGGCGTGGTCAGGCGGGGCGGGGCGCCCCAGGGTCCCTCCGCCCTTCCGCCGCTAGCGCAGCCATGGCGGCCACCGGGGTCCTGCCCTTCGTGCGCGGCGTCGACCTCAGCGGCAACGACTTCAAGGTGCGGGGGGACTGGGGGGGATCGCGGGGACAGCCCGGGCCCAGGCCCCGAGCGAGCCCGGGGACCGCAGGGCTCTGTCAGGCCCGGCCCCACCCCGCCGGCTCGGATCAGCCCCCCCCAGCCCTTGTTCCCCGGGTCCCAATCCCATAGGATTAACCCATCCCAGCTCTCCAGTGCCTAATGCCATAGGACGGAGTGATCCCACCCCGCAGCTCCCCCTCCCATAGGACTGGGCGATCCCAGCTCCCAATCCCATAGGACTAAGTGATCCCATAGGACTGAGCGATAACAGCTCCCCAGCTGCCAATCCCATAGAACTGGGTCATCCTGGCTCCCCAGTTCCCAATCCCATAGGACTGTGTGATCTCACCCCACACTTCTCAGTACCATAGGACTGAGCGATTCCACCCTCCAGCTCCCAGTCCTATAGGACCAAGCAATCCCAATTCCCAAGCCCACAGGACTGGGCAATCCCACCCCCCAGTTGCCAATCCCATAGGACCAGTCAATCCCCATTCCCAGTCCTATAGGATCAGGAAATCCCACCCTCCAGCTCCCAGTCCCATAGGACCAGTAAATCCCCATTCCTAATCCTATAGGACCGGGCAATCCCACCCCCCAGTTCCCAATCCCATAGGACCAGTCAATCCCCATTCCCAGTCCTATAGGACCAGGAAATCCCACCCTCCAGCTCCCAGTCCCATATGACCAGTAAATCCCCATTCCCAATCCTATAGGACCGAGGAATCCCACCCTCCCAGCTCCCAGCCCCATAGGACCAGCCAATCCCCATTCCCAATACCATAGGATTGAACAATCCCACCCTCCAGCTCCCAGCTTTATAGGACTAGTCAATCCCCATTCCCAATCCTATAGCACCGCGCAGTCCCACCCTCCATCTCCCAATCATACAGACATGAGCAACCCCAAACCCTCCAACCACACAGGGCCCCTCTGAGCTCCCCAGATCCTCACCCCATGGAACAGCTGCTATCCCCATCCTCACCCTCCTCTTCCTCGCAGGGCGGATACTTCCCGGAGCACGTGAAGGCGATGACGAGCCTGCGCTGGCTGAAGCTGAACCGCACGGGGCTCTGCTACCTGCCCGAGGAGCTCGCTGCCCTCCAGAAGCTGGTGAGCGGCACCTTTCCAGCCGGGAATGGGGCTCCATGGGGTCAGACGGGGCCCTGCGAGGCAGAGCCAGGAGCCTGGTGCCTGCCAGCCTCGTGGCTCATCGGCGGATGCTCTGGTGTCTAATAATAGGGCTGAGCAATGATGTGTGGTTGAAATCGAATGCAGGAGCTGGTGGGAATAGGGTTGAGGCAGGCTTGAGCTCGGTTTCACCTTGTTTGCCTAGGAAACCAGAGGAAAACCCATGCTCAGATCCTCTGCCCTTTAATAGAAGGGAAGGGGGAAGGTTTAGTAAGGGGGAAATTAAGGTTTTGAGGCTTGTTTTCCCTCTCCTTTTGCTAGAAGATGTAAAGAGCAATAGCAGGCAGCCGCCTGGCTCTGCTTTTTGGGTGGCCCTTGGTGGACTCAGTGGCTGAGGTTTGCTTTGGTGGTGCCCTGCATCATTATGGGCATCATTAAATCAGTGTCAGGCAAACACAACCCTTTAAATGCTGCCAAAGGTCCTTGTCACCGTTTTGGGTCTGTGACAGCACCCATAACCCTGCAGCAGCGCCGGGGTGTCTCAGGTCTGCCCCTATGAGCTGTGCGTGCATTGGTACTGACCAGTTTGGGACTGGGAGCATCCCAGCAGCCTTGTGTGGGACAGAGCCGAGCTCATCCCAAGCCCCCCCCCAGCATTCCTGGGATCGAGGAGCACCCCCATTGGTGTTGGGGACCTGGTTCCTCTCCATGCTCACTGATGCTTCCCTCCAGGAACACCTCTCCGTGAGCCACAACAGCCTCACCACGCTCCATGGGGAGCTCTCCGGCCTTCCCTGCCTCCGGGTGAGTGCTCCCCTCATTCATCCCACCAGCATCAATGGGTCCCCAGGCACCTCCTGGCCAGCCCCTGGCTCTGGGGGCACACAAGGATCGTGCTGGGCCACGCCATGGGGGTTCAGCACCCATGGAGCAGGCTGGTGGCTGCAGTGGGTGCCTCTTGTTTCCCTTTCAAGGCCATCGTGGCTCGTGCAAACAGCCTGAAGAACTCGGGGGTCCCTGATGACATCTTCCAGCTGGATGATCTCTCGGTGCTGGTAGGTTTGGAGCCTCCTTGGCTAAAGCAGGAGCCACCTCAGACTCCTGGGTCCCAGTCTGGCACCTCAGTGGCCCCTCGTGCTCCTTGAGGGGTAAAAGTGCGGGGGGTAAATCAGGCTCCCTTGGATGTTTGGGTGCCCAGACCAAAACCAGATCCCCCACAGGAGCTCCTTTCAGCACCAGTCCTGATAACCCTACAGTATAGATAACACTGTGGCATAGATAACCCTATGGCGTACATAACCCTATAGCATACATAATTATGGGTGCAGATAACCTATGGTGTGGCTAACCCTATGCCATAGGTAACCCTATGGTGTAGATACCTCTATGGTGTAGATAACAATATGGTGTAGATACCTCTATGGTGTAGATAACAATATGGTGTAGATAACAATATGGTGTAGATACCTCTATGGTGTAGATAACAATATGGTGTAGATACCTCTATGGTGTAGATAACAATATGGTGTAGATAACAATATGGTGTAGATAACAATATGGTGTAGATAACAATATGGTGTAGATACCTCTATGGCACAGATAACTCTATGGCATACATAACCCTATGGAGTGGATAACTCCATGGCATAGATAACCCTATGGCGTAGATACCTCTATGACATACATAACCCTATGGCATAGATGACCCTATGGCATAGATGACCCTATGGCGTAGATGACCCTATGGCATACATAACCCTATGGCGTAGATGACCCTATGGCATACATAACCCTATGGCATACATAACCCTATGGCATACATAACCCTATGGCGTACATAACCCCATAGTAATGCCTGATGCTGTGTCCGGGTTCCCCGTGTGCTCATCCAGCTCCTGCACCAGCCCAGAGGGCAGGGCCCAGTGTGGTGTAGGCAGGAGGTTCCCCTGCAGATGCCCCTTGGCCCTCAGGTGGTGATGGCTGGATGTGGGCAGGGGGTGATGCCTCCTTTGCTGTCCCATTGCTCCAGGACCTGAGCTACAACCAGCTCACCGAGTGTCCCCGGGAGCTGGAGAACGCCAAGAACATGCTGGTCCTCAACCTCGGCCACAACAGGTAGGTCCAGGCCGTGGCCACCTCCATCCATCACTCCACATCCTGCTCTCTGCCCCTCTTTAAGGGAACCCTAAGGCATGTCCCAAGCAGCCCTAAAGACCCTCATCTCCCCCCCAGCATCGAGACCATCCCCAACCAGCTCTTCATCAACCTGACGGACCTGCTCTACCTCGACCTGAGCGACAACAAGCTGGAGAGCCTCCCCCCGCAGATGCGACGCCTGGTGCACCTCCAGACCCTCATCCTCAACAACAACCCCCTCCTGCACGCACAGCTCCGGTACATCCCGGTTATTCCAGGCCGGATCCCATTGTGTCGGGTGCCTGCTCCAAGCCCTGACGCTGTCCCTTGGTCCGCAGGCAGCTCCCGGCCATGACAGCCCTGCAGACCCTGCACCTTAGGAACACGCAGCGCACACAGAGCAACCTCCCCACCAGCCTCGAGGGCTTGGTCAACCTGGCAGGTAGGAATGGGGCACTCAACCCTATGGGGCCTCCTTCTCCATGGGTCCATGGGGTCACCCCCGTTGTCTTCCATCAGACGTGGACCTGTCCTGCAATGACCTCAGCCGTGTCCCCGAGTGCCTCTACACGTTGGGGAGCCTGCGCCGCCTCAACCTCAGCAGCAACCAGATCACGGAGTTATCCCTCTGCATCGACCAATGGACCCAACTGGAGACCCTCAACCTGTCCCGCAACCAGCTCACCTCCCTCCCTGTACGTCCCTGCCTGCACGTGGCATCCCTGCCCATCCAGAACCATTGTGTTCTCCCTCATCCCAGCCTCTCTTCCTCCCCCAGTCGGCCATCTGTAAGCTGACCAAGCTGAAGAAGATGTACCTCAACTCCAACAAGCTGGACTTCGACGGGATCCCCTCGGGCATCGGGAAGCTGGTCAACCTTGAGGAGTTCATGGCAGCCAACAACAACCTGGAGCTCATCCCTGAGAGCCTGTGCAGGTAGGGGACACAGAGGCTGTGTGGGGCCACGGGGTCACTTTGCCTTGGTCCTTGCCCATCATCTGTGTCCCATAGATGCTCCAAGCTGAGGAAGCTGGTGCTGAACAAGAACCGCCTGGTGACGCTGCCGGAGGCCATCCACTTCCTGACGGATGTGGAGGTGAGAGCCCAGCACTCCTCCACCTCGAGATGGGTCCATCGCAGCCCCAGCGTGTCCCTGGGGTCTGGAGGGTGGGATGGGACCAATCCATGCAGTGTGGCACACAGTTCAGCCCAGGCAGGTGATGGATGTGGGGCTCCCCTCACCTCATTGAAGCCCAGGGTGTCC